GATTCTAGGATAGCATAGAGAGTAGTCATCAATCTCATTCTAGGGGAAGGGCTTCTAGGCCATCCTCTCCTCCACTGCCCAGACTGTCAGATCGTGTCATCCTTGTAGGTCTCTGGAGATCTCCCTAGTTCCAGATCTCTTCTCAGACCTATAGTGGCTCCCTCTGATATGGTATCTCTCATCCTGCTCTCTCTCCTCTATTCTTCCCCCAACTTAATATCTCTGCTCCTCCATTTCTTCTCCTCTACTCTTCTTCTTGTGCTCTTATTGTGGCAGCACCCACTCCCCTACCCTCATGCTCTCAATTAGCTCGAGAGTTCATGCCACTTCCCATTCCTGGGGTCTACTTATCCTTTAGAGTCATTCATGATTTCTAGTTTCTTTGGGGAAGAGGATTATAGGCTGGTAAACCTTTGCTCTATGTCTAAAAATCATATATGAGTGAGTACATACCATGGTTGTCTTTTTGTGATTGGGTTACCTCACTCAGGATGGTTTCTTCTAGTTCCATCCATTTGCCTGCAAATTTCAAGATTCCATTGCATTTTGCAGAAGTAATTTTTAGAAGTAATTAATAAAATAATTAGCTTTTTAAAAATAGGAATATATTTACAGTCTTCTCAAAAGAAACTGTAATAGGGAGGGTTCTCAGCCATGATTCACTATGTAACTATTGAATCCTTAAATTCTGCATTTAATGGAGAGTATTTTCATAATATTGATGCCAATCCCCACAAAGGAGTAGTTTATGTGTCTCCAGACCCAAGCCCCCACATCCAAAAAGTGATAACATTTTAGGTGCCATTGGCCTTGTCTGACTTTTTTTTTTTCTGGAGATCTTTTAATAGTTATATGATGTCATTTTACAAAATAATGTTCATAGCCCTCTCTGATCCCTAGGGTTTACCAAGAGAATAAAATGTTAGTGGATTTGTGTTGATTAAATGCAAGACTTCCATTCGATGAATGTAGTAGCTCTCGGCTGATAAGATAGCTCACCAGGTAAAAAGCACTTGCCACTTAAGTTTGAAGACCTGAGTTCAATCCCCAGAACCCACGTAAAGATGAAAGGAGAGAGAGAACTCCATGAATCTGCCCTCTGACTTCCATGTGCATACCATGGTATGTGTGTACTGGGATGCACACACACACACACACACACACACACACACACACACACACACACACCAATGGTCTATTAAAACTTTAAAAAAAAAATAAATAAAACAGCAGTTCTTTGTAACCTTGGCTTAGAAACTCCTATCTGCTGTGGACCAGTGGATATAGGTAATGAACTCAGATTACACAGTCCATAGCAGAAAGGAACTTGCCATCTCCCCTTTAGTCTCAGGACTGTTTGATTTGAGGGATGGAGCGAAGACAAGAAGGCCCCGGTTGCTCACTGCCTGTCTGTGTTGTTTTATTCTCTAAACCCCAGAGATGTGTCCTCCACCAGTGTCACTGCCCTCCCCTCCAAAGGCCTGGAGCACCTGAAAGAACTGATCGCAAAAGATACTTGGACTCTCAAGAAGCTTCCTCTGTCCCTGAGTTTCCTCCACCTCACTCGGGCTGACCTGTCTTACCCAAGCCACTGCTGTGCCTTTAAGAACCAGAAGAAAATCAGGGGGTAAGTAGCAGGGGCCTGAAATAAGCCGTGATGGGAGTTGGATTCATTTTTAGAATTGGAAGAGGATGTGATTGATTTAAAACCCAGGAGGGAAAGAACCGGAAGCATCCACATAAGCAGGAAAGCCCTGGGAGCAAAGCGGTTGCAGATGAGAAATAAGGCCCACATCACTAGGCTGCAGGAGGAAGGGAAGACAATAAGAAATGATATCATGGAGATTAAGGCTCACTGTGGAGCTAACTTGTCTGGTGTGCACAGACAGTGAAGCAGGTTTGGCCTGCATCCCAACCCCATCAGCTTCCAGCTGTGTCATCTCAGCCTACTTACTCAGCAATTCTGAGCTTCTAAGAATTGAGATCACTACGTCGTCACATATCAATCACATTGTCATCAATAAGGGTTTTTAGAAGATAAAGATGTTCACTGGAAAACACCAGGAATTGACTATCTGGAATGTAACAAGTAAAAAGTATTAACCGGGTGGTGGCACAAGCCTTTAATCCCAGCACCTAGGAAGCAGAGGCAGGTGAATCTCAATGAGTTTGAGGCCAGCCTGGTCTACAGAGTGAGTTCCAAGATAGCCAGGACTGTTGCACAGAGAAACCCTGTCTCAAAATACATACATACATATATATATATATATATATATATATATATATATATATTATGACATATATTATTTCAATATCTGTGTCTTAACAGTTTCTATTGCTGCAACAAAACACTATGACCAAAAGGCAAAAGGCAAATTGGGGAGGAAAGGGGGTTTTTTTTGGCTTACACTTCAGCATTGCTGTTCATCATTGAAGGAAGTCAGGAAAGGAACTCAAACAGGGCAGGATCCCCAAGGCAGGAACTGATACAGAGGTCATGGAGGGCAGCTACTTACAGACTGGCTTCCCCTGGCCCACTCAGCTCACCTTCTTATAGAACCCAGGACCACCTGCTCAGTGGTGGCACCACCCACCGTAGGGGGGCCCACATTTTATTCTCTTGGTAAACCCTTGGGATCAGAGAGGGCTATGAACATTATTTTGTAAAATGGCATCATATAACTATTAAAAGATCTCCAGAAAAAAAAAATCAAACAAGGTCAATGGCACCCTAAGTGATCACTAAATGAGAAAATACCTTACAGCTGGATCTCATTGAGACATTTCTTCAGCTGAGGCTCCTTCCTCTCTGATGACTCTAGCTTGTATCAAGTTGACACACAAAACCAGCCAGTAGCCGGCCGTTGGTGGCACACACCTTTAATCCCAGCACTAGGGAGGCAGAGGCAGGTGGATCTCTGTGAGTTCAAGGCCTGCCTGGTCTCCAGATCGAGTGCCAGGATAGGCTCCAAAGATTCACAGAGAAACCCTGTCTTGAAAACAAACAAACAAACAAACAAAACAAAACAAAACAACAAAAACAAAACAAAACAAAACCAGCCAGTACAATCTGGCTGCTTGCAAGAGTGCCGAGGAGAGAGACTCCTTCATTACACTCCAACCTGTCTCTGTTTCTTGTTCTGACCTATTACCTCTTTCATGTCTTGTGCCACCTCCTGTTCTAACTCCACCTTCATTTATCTATTTCTGTCTGTCTCCTTTAGTTTCTACACAAGTATCTACTCGGTGACTTTCTACACTCATAATTGTAACCAGAAAAAAAAAAAAAAAAAAAAAAAAAACAGGGCCTACTCACAGAGGCAGATGTAAAAGGGAAAGTTGAAGAACCAGGCAAAGGGGGCTATTGTGGCCATAATAACTGCATGGGCACAAGGTGTTGGTATCCATTGCTATGCTATCACTACATGACACCAAGTGGAGAGGATTGGAGATAAATGTATGGTTAGAGTGAACCTCGCTGGCAGATACAGCTCTGGCAATACAGTAGAAATGTAAATCCTTCCAGTCCTGACTGGACTACAACAGAACTCCCACACCCAAGACCTAGGGATCACTAAGGAAGAAGGGATAAAAAGATTGTAAGAGACAGGAACAGAGAGTCTGCTGGGAGAGTGTGTCTCCTAGGAATGTCAGAAGCTACTACATCCATGGAGTCTCACCAACACAACTCCTAAATGGGAACTGAACAAGGACAACAACAACAGACACACTGCTGCTGCTTCTGCAGGGAAGGTCCATAGGCCTCAACCCTACACAAAGAACAACAGGCAACAAGGAAGCTGAGAGTAGGAGAAACAGTCTTCCCAGGGAAGAGCACTGATTGGTTATCTAATACCAAATGGCTAGCCCTAAAACCAAATACATACAAATAACACTATACAAGCTGAACGGGTTGTATTTATGTGTCCACAAACACAGACACACAATAACAACAATAACCACAATTAATGAAAAAAAGGGACATGAATTTGAAAGAGAGCAAAGAAGGATATATGGGAGGTTTCCAAGGGGAAAATGACATGATTATACCATAATCTCAAAAAAAAATTGACAAAGTAAGTCATATTATTATGAGTATATCTGTGTGCTGTGGCCACTTATTCATTTGTTAGCAAATCTTTGGTGAGCACCTCCTATGTGCCTGGCATTATCTTAGCCACAACAGAGTACTAGGAGGCTTCTTGAATGTAGTTAGAATCTACTGGAGGAAGTCAACAGAGAAAGAAGGAAATGTCAGTCCGGGTTATGAAGGGATGAAGCACCAGGGTGAGGTGGTTTATTTAAAGAGATCAGGAAAGAGTCCTATGAAGAAAGCAGCGTATGTTTAAAATTGAATAGTGAGTACAGGTGGCCATGAGTTTCTAGGCAAAGGGAGTGTGGAGCTCTGAACTCCAAATAGGAATGGTGTTCATAGCAATCACAAACACATAGATGGCACGGTTCGTGCTCCCCATACTGGTGTAACAGCTTGGAAAAGATGCTCATTCAATGCTCTCATTCCATTCACACATGAACAAGTTTCACAGACCTACTCAACATGGAGCAGTTAGTAACTAAATGAGCCGTGTTCTAAGCAGGCTCCAGTGTCCATGCTTTTCAATCATGACTCTTCTTAAAGTAGCTCAAGATGACGGGAAATAGGGTCAATGTCAATGGTCACAGTAGGAGAAGTAAGGTCATATAAATGGATGGAGCAGAGGTTGGGAAAGACGGCTCAGGGAGGTGCTTGCTGCCAAGTCTGGTAATCCGAGTCCCAGCCCCAGGACCCACATGGTGGAAGAAGAGAAGTAACTCCCACAAGTTGTCCTTCTGAAATAAAGTGAAAAATAATAAACAAGTGTTATAGAAGATTTGTTTAGAAAATATTAAGTTACACAGAAATAGAATTTACTTGAAGTATTTCCTCCAACACAACTCTAAGACAAATAGCTTACTAACCAAATTTAGGTGTAACATAGGGAAGGCAGAGTTGTACTAGTAGAATAAATTAGGATGTGTTTCTTCATAACTCACTCATGGGAGCCCCTCTTCTCAGTGGCAGCAAAGAGAAAATGGCCCTGGCTACCAGCTGTTCAGACAGCAAAGCCGGTTTGTTTAACAGAGAGCTGCATCTGTGCTGCTTGGTATAATCTAAAGATAACCAAAAAACTGCTGCTTCGTTTTGTTTCTATAAAACACACCTAATTGCTCAGAACGTACAGCTTGGGATGGGAGCTTAAAAAGCCACCTACAGACAAAAGCAGATGGAAGGTTACCATATTATAGCTCAACTCCAGGCTGTAGAGGATTTCTGTCCATGGCTGGGATCCCATAGGCTTAGCCAGAATCTAGATGCATGCTTTTATTAAAGTGTTCTCATTAATCTTTGAAGCACTTGGAGTGATTTCTGACTAGGAAGGTTTAGTTCTGCCATTACCCTTTGAACTCCATACTGTGCTGTGGTGCATGCAGGCACAATAAATTAAGTAAATGATTTCAATGATACAGCAAAGGCAGTCCTGACCAGATCATGCAGAATTGGTAGCACCATGAACATCAAATGAAGTAAATTGTGTATCTTCCCAGGAACTAAGGGAGGTGAAAGGTGGACTTGAAGCAAGAGGTGACTCGTATCTGTTGCCTTACAGAATCCTAGAGTCCTTGATGTGTAATGAGAGCAGTATCCGGAACCTGCGTCAAAGAAAATCAGTGAATGTCCTGAGAGGTCCCATCTACCAGGAATATGAGGAAGATCTGGGTGACAACAGTGTTGGGTACAAACAAAACTCGAAGTTCCAGGAGAGCCCCAGCAACTCTCATTATTACGTATTCTTTGAAGAACAAGAAGAGGAGATAATTGGTTTTGGCCAAGAGCTCAAAAATCCTCAGGAAGAGACTCTGCAAGCCTTTGACAGCCACTATGACTACACTGTGTGTGGGGACAATGAAGACATGGTGTGTACCCCCAAGTCAGATGAGTTTAACCCCTGTGAAGATATCATGGGCTACAAGTTCCTGAGAATCGTGGTGTGGTTTGTCAGTCTGCTGGCTCTCCTGGGCAATATCTTTGTCCTATTTATTCTTCTTACCAGCCACTACAAACTGACTGTGCCACGCTTTCTTATGTGCAACTTGGCCTTTGCAGATTTCTGCATGGGCGTATACCTGCTTCTCATTGCCTCTGTAGACCTGTACACACACTCTGAGTACTACAACCATGCTATTGACTGGCAGACAGGCCCTGGGTGCAACACTGCTGGCTTCTTCACTGTTTTTGCCAGTGAGCTATCGGTGTACACACTAACAGTCATCACCCTGGAGCGATGGTATGCCATCACCTTCGCCATGCGCCTGGATAGGAAGATCCGCCTGAGGCACGCATACACCATCATGGCTGGCGGCTGGGTGGCCTGCTTCCTCCTTGCCCTGCTCCCTATGGTGGGAATAAGCAGCTATGCCAAGGTCAGCATCTGCCTGCCAATGGACACTGACACGCCTCTTGCTCTTGCGTACATTGTCCTTGTTCTGCTGCTCAATGTCATTGCCTTTGTCATCGTCTGTTCCTGCTATGTGAAGATCTACATCACAGTCCGAAATCCCCAGTACAACCCTCGAGACAAAGACACCAAGATTGCCAAGAGGATGGCTGTACTGATCTTCACTGACTTCATGTGCATGGCCCCCATCTCCTTCTATGCCCTGTCAGCACTTATGAACAAGCCCCTAATCACCGTTACTAACTCCAAGATCTTGCTTGTTCTTTTCTACCCTCTCAACTCCTGTGCCAATCCATTCCTCTATGCTATTTTCACCAAGGCCTTCCAGAGGGACGTGTTCATCCTGCTAAGCAAGTTTGGCATCTGCAAACGCCAGGCCCAGGCATATCAGGGTCAGAGAGTCTGTCCAAACAACAGCACTGGTGTTCAGATTCAAAAGGTTCCCCAGGACATGAGGCAGAGTCTCCCCAACATGCAAGATGCCTATGAACTCCTTGGAAATGCCCACCTAGCTCCAAAAACACAGGGACAAATTTCAGAAGAATATAAGCAAACGGCCTTGTAAAATGATGCTACGTTATTCACAGTGGGACTTAAAACGGCTGGTTTCTTGAACACATGTTCTGATCTACGACACACGGATGCATAGTTTCATGCAGGTGATGTTTTATATGGACACAGTTCATCTCTAGAGGGTATTATCTCCAAGAAGGGAGAGAAGCTGTCAGCATATCTGAGTCCTAGGTGATGTGAAAATAGTCTACACTCTCCAGTGGACATGCTGGATGCTCGAAGATGACACTGTGCAACATGTCCCACAGATACCAACTGAACCATGCCCGCATCTGTCTTCTCCGGTTTATGTGCTGTTGTTTTATAGTAAAGACACAACAAATGGCCAACATTCATTTTCTTATGCAGCTCCTCATTGGCTCCCCTCGTATAACCAAAGAAAGGTTTGTTCCTTAAAAATTAAAATGCCACATTTGGGAGGTAGAGGCAAATTTCATCCTTAGTTACATAGTGAGTTCCAAGCCTGAGCTACACAAGACCCCATCTCAAGAGGACAAAAGAAATCTGGAAACCCAAACACAACTAGATATCACAAAGCTGCTTCCATTAAACATGAAAAGGGGGAATCTACATGCATGGACTGGAGAAACTGCTGAGATTTCATCTTTTGTGGCTGAGCAATCTAAGAATTGTCTTCTTGTAGAAGTTAGGAACTCTGGAAGGTCTTTCTAAGCAACACGTGGGGATGAGGACAAAGAACACATAGTCACCTGTTGAATGTTATCACCAGACACCAGTCAACTGTTGAGCAAGTCCCTGGAACTCCAAGTTCTGTAGAAATGGAGACACGTGATGGCCTCTTTCATTTTAAAAACTCTAGGTGCATCTCGTCTTCAAGGATACATTTTCATGACATTAAAAAAAAAAGGTACTACTTAAGTAGAATCTGATTTTTCTATCTTGTGGAGCTGCTGTCTACTTCTTTTTGGAACCATGATAAGACCCAAGAAGATTTTTCTTTATTTCATTTTTATCATCATGTCTGAACCAAAAAATTCTACTGAGTGACTATCTGGAGACAGATCCTAATTATTCATCTAATTATTACACCTATATAAGTCCAAAACAGACTGGAATTTATGTACTAGACTAACAATACAGCCTGGCAGGGTGCTGCACACCTTTAATTCCAACACTTAGGAGGTGGAGGCAAGTCGATCTCTGAGTTCCAGGCCAGCCTGGTCTACAAAGCAAGTTCCAAGACAGCCAGGGATACACGGAGAAACCCCTCAAAAACAAAGCAACAAAAGATAGACTAATAATAGTTACTGTGGGACTGTGTTGACTCACTTCAAAACATTTACCTCATCTTCACAGATTGGTTTCATGCCCTCTGCAGCTCACATCACACTAACACTGTCAAGAGAGAAATCTTTTCATCTGACACTGGCAGTTTCCTTCTAACCCTGCCAGTCACTGACATAAAACATTTGTGTCCCAATGATAACCTTGCTTCAAACAGCCAGGAACTGCATCTACAGGTCTACCTTCCAGATTGCCTGTCTGGAGAACTCCTTACCACATTGTTCTAGTGTCCCCACCCCACCCCACCCTGAGCAGATTTGGCATTTGCTTCTCAGTGCTCATGAACCAAAGCAGGAAATAAAAGGCTGTGTCACTTTAAGTCTGTGGAGTAGGGTTTGTGGGTCATCTGACGCAGCCCTTACTTGACTGGCCTGGTGCTTTGTCATAGTCACACAAGCACTGGCTTTCCCAACAGGTCACTTGTAACTACTGAAATTGAACAAATGTGTTATCTTGTGGCATGTGTTTCTCTCTTGTGACATTTCGAAATATCACATATGGACAAAGGATGTGTTTCGTCTTGAGTAGCTGACCTAGTGCTTTGAAAACAAAGTCCTAGAAGAGGACATGGTCAAAACGAAATAAATTTTCTTCCTGTACTAAGGTATATAGTATTTCTTTTAATTTGTCAAGTTTCTTCTGAGGTTCACATTATACGTGTATGTTAAAATCAAAGAGGGAAAAACACTGTGCACCATTGCTAAGAAATCCATATTGGTTGAAACTGATTGATTAGTAACTCCTAGAATGTTTGTTGATGAGGATTCATTAAGGAGGCATCTACGGATAAGAACAGAAAGATAGTAAAACAACATATATCAAACAAATGATCAGCATTGATCCTGGAATTTCAATAGCATTCTAGGGGCTGAAGAAGTGGCTCAGCAGATAAAGAAGAGCTCTTGTTGCTCTTGCAAAGGACTAGAATTTGGTTTGCAGCACCTACACCATACAGGTTTCCACTTCCTAGCACTCTAGCTCCAAGGAACCTGACACCCTATTCTGGCCTCTGAGCATGCCTGTACATTTGTGGGAATGCCAACAGAGAGATATACACACACAAATAAAAGTAAATATTATTGTGATGAAAGAATGAATCTAGTGGATGGAGAGATGGCTCAGAGGTTAAGAGCACTGACTGCTCTTCCAGAGGTCCTGAGTTCAATTCCCAGCAACCACATGGTGGCTCACAACCATCCATTATGAGATCTGGTGCCCTCTTCTGGTGTGCAGATATACATGGAAGCAGAATGTTGTATACATAATGAATAAATAAAAATATTTTTTAAAAAAGAATGAATCTATAAGTCCTCTTCAGTGTTCACTATAACTGGCATCTTTAATTATCTGATGACTGACCGACATTAGTGAGGAGAAGCTCCAGGCTAGGAACTTGGAAAAGGCCCAGTACTTACTATACAAACATGAGGACCTGAGTCTGAGCTCCAGCAACTGTGCAAAAACCAAGTGTGAGAAGTACACACTATAATCCCAGCACCGGGGGAGACAGGATGTTCCTGGTCCTGGGACTTGCTGGCCAGCCAGCCTCAAACGGATGATGTCCAGTTTACTGAGATACTGTGTCTCAAAAAAAAATATGGAGAACAATAGAGGAAGGCACCAATATGTACCCCTGACCTACACACACACACACACACACACACACACACACACACACACACTACCAAACATAATACACACCAAAATTAAATAAAAAAACTACCCATAGACTAAATTTCATATAGTCTGTGTCCTAAGCTGGATGGTGGTGGTGCACGCCTTTAATCCTAGCTCTTGGGAGGCAGAGGCAGGTGGATCTCTGAGTACGAAGTCTACATAGTGAGTTCCAGGATAGCCAGAGCTACACAGAGAAACCATGTCCTGGGAAAAAAATTCATGGCTGGCAAAGAGAAAAAAGGGTACATACATACATACATACATACATACATACATACATACATACATACATATTCAGGCGGTAATGGCACATGCCTTTAATTTCAGCACTCAGAAGGCAGAGGCAGACAGATCTCTATGAGTTCTGCTATCTAGTTACTTTTCTATTGCTGTAATAAGACTCCATGACTAAGGCAACTTACAGAAGAATGAGTTTATTTGGGGTTTATGGTTTCAAAGGGTTGGGGTCCATGACCTCCATGGTAGGGAATATGGCAGCAGGCAGGTAGGAATGAGCTGTGGCAGTAACTGGGAGTTTACATCTTGATCCAGAGAGAGCAAGAGACTTGGAATGGCACAGGTCTCTTGAAACCTCAAAGCTTACCCTTAGTCACACAACTCCTCTAACAAGGCCACACCTCCTTACAAACAGTTCTACCAAATAAAGACCAAGTATTCAAACGTATGTGCCTATGAGAGCTATTCTTATTCAAACCACCACAGAGGTACATGTGTGGTCGAGCCTAGCTTTTTATGTGGATGCTGGAGATTTGAACTCAGATCCTCATGCTTTTCTGGCAAACAATCTTACCCATGACCCATCTCCTTAGCCCTGCATTCTCATTTAGAAGTTCTGCGAGTTCCAGCTCAAAGTGATAGACTTGAGTCCCTATATTTAGCAGCCTCCCTCTTTCATTTCAACTGAAATGATATAATGAAATATAAAGTGGAAGCAGCTGAAACTGTGTGGTTTCAGCCTTCAGCAAACCAGAAACTTTGGTGGCCTTCTGGGAGGTGGGAAGCCTGTGGGGTGATGGCCAACTCAGTGGAGAGACTGCCATCTCAAATATATTCATGGGATGAGATGTGACTACAGAAGGCCACAGACTTTCCTTCAGAGTCCCAGAGATACCTCAGAGCCTGGAGGATGCAGAGCTGAGGAAATAATACCAGTAATTAGTTGGAAGTCTATTATCATTTGGTTCTTTCCACTCATCATCTCTCTAGTCAGCTAGAAGAACAGTATATTCAGTGTTTATCCCCCACTGAAATCAAGATCTTAAAGAAAAGCCAAGCATGGTGGCTCAGACCTATAACCCAAGAACATAGGAGCCTAAGGTAGAAAGATTGTTTACTGTGAGTCCAAGGCTAGCCTGGGCTACAGAGAAAGACCCTGTCTCAAAACACCACAAAAACAAAGCTCCAGGGAAGAGAATGACCAGTGTAGGTAGGGAACCTTGTTTCATCGCTCACTTCCTGCCTTGGCAACACCAAGTGAAGCCTGATTTGAGCATCATAATCAGAATGTCTCCATCCATCCCTAAGTCTATGAGAGGCATCAGGGGGAAAACCATTTCACACTGTTTGAAGATATTAACCATCTTCATCCTTCTTTCAAAAACAAAAATGGGCAAAAGGATTGTCACACACTTGAAAAAATATTAACTTTACATTAACAAATGGACAAAAAGGACATGTTCCTGGGGAGGGGGGAACACAGATAATTTAAAACCAGAATATTAGCATTAAAATTTCAGTAAATAACAACAGAGTAATCTGAAAACTATTGAAACTCACCACAATAGCTATCTTTAAAAAGAAAAAAAAAAAGTAATCCAAAGTTAGGAATTCCGGAAATTTTAAAATCAGATTGCCAAATCAAAAGCTTTAGCAGAAGGAGAAGAAGATAAAGCGAGGGAATCTCCTACAATGTTTGTTTACACAAACAAAGATGTGAGCTATGAAGTAAAAGTTGGGGATGTGCTTGCTGCTGAAGCATAAGGACCTGAA